AGGGTGCATCGTTTTCTTCTCTTCTTAGGATTTAAATGTGGATGAATTTGAAGAAATATTCAAAACAAAAGCCCAAGGTCCAGCCATTGATCTTACTTCCAGCAAGCAAAAGATAACTCAGAAAGGGTCGAACAAAGTCACGTTACTGGATGCAAACAGAGCCAAAAATCTTGCCATTACTTTAAGAAAAGCTGGAAAGACAGCAGATGAAATATGCAAAGCTATTCACGTGTAAGTAAAACACTTGTCAGCAACTAAATCATATTTAAGATTTACTCTGCTTTTTGGTAAGTGGAATGGTTTTGAATTGGCAGTTGATATAAACGTTTTTACAGTTGGAAAAAAACCAAGATTAAGGATGGAACCATTCTGAGTTCCCACAAATCAGATTCCCTTGTACTAAAATATGTTGACTTGCAGTTTTATGTCACTGTATCACTATATAGGCTAAACAAATTAGCACGTCTTTTGTTAGAGCAGCTAATTCATGTTTATCCACAGTGTGCCATTGCGTACTGCATCTGTGAGTCTATTTATACAGTGCTTTCTGTTATAACGAACACTTAAAAGCAATGATATCAGTAATAGGCAGCTATTTTAATTTGCCACAGAAAGTACATGTTCAATCCAAGTGCACTGGAAGTGTTTTGCGTAGAATTAGGTTTATGTAATGACCCCACGGTGCCAGACCCAAATGTGATGCAGGTGTACACGCGGTACACAACATTTCTCCACTACGCAAATGCAGTGCGAGGTTTTGCTGCTTCACATCCTGCTGGTTGGGTTTCAGCTGCTTTAATCTTTAGGACCTGGTGACACGGTTCATCACCTGCCTGCTCCAGCGGTTCCCAGGACAGCACACACATGTACCTGCTTGGTAGGGCTCATCCTGAATGAATCCAGGAAGCAGTTAGTACCTGTGGCCATGACCAACATCTGTCATTTCTCAGCAGATGGATATCTTAAAAATTTGGATTTTAAGACAAACATTCCATTTAGCCTGATGAGAAGGGTGACCCAAACCTGCTGTCAGATTGCACGTCCAGCCACTGGGGTTACAGGGCTCTGACCGAATTAAATAAAGCTACGGTTTGCTCCTCCCTGCTCCCTGTCTCATTCAGCCAGGAACAAGCTGCAGGCAGCAGCTCTGTCCCTGGCATCATCAGGCAGCGGTGCCTTCTGCTTGGTCCTTTACTTGTCCATCATTTAGTGTAGAGCCTTGTCATAACAAGGCTTTTCTGGTTTGCTGTCCCTTAGGTTTGACCTGAAAACGTTGCCAGTGGATTTTGTTGAATGCCTGATGCGGTTCCTGCCTACCGAGAATGAAGTGAAAGTGCTGCGGCTCTACGAGCGGGAGAGGAAGCCCATCGAGAACCTCTCTGATGAAGACCGCTTCATGATGCAGTTCAGCAAGATCGAGAGGCTGATGCAGAAGATGACCATCATGGCGTTTATAGGCAACTTTGCAGAAAGTATCCAGATGCTGACCCCTGTGAGTGAGAGACAACCCCTCGAGGCAGCTCGACAGTGCATTAGATGTGGTGGGATTAGGGCTTTCCAGGTGTTTGGCCTCCTCACGAGATCTGCAGTCTGCATTGCAGCCCAGCTTGCGTGGAGCAGGCTGGAGCCTTGCAGGACACCATGCAGTGATGTGGTGCCGTCAGTGAAGTTGTTACGGAGATAGATAGACTGAGAAACAATTAACACCAAAGAAAAAAAGGTCTTCAACCTGTTTTTCCATATTCGTACTCTAGCTGGGCAGATTGCCCTAAATCATGGTAAAGGCCTCACTATGTATGACAAAGATGTTGCGAGTTATCCCAAATAATCCTGATCTCTTATACAAGAGATTTGCTGGTGGCATCTCTATGAGTTAAGTGGCTGATTTCCAAAGCTGGCATACCGCTCTGTGCCTGCAATGTGTGTGCCCCTGGGGATTCAGATATCACAGGTGGGGCTTGTATGGCAGGTTGTACCTCCGAGTGTTCCATATCGTCCTACTTCTTTACCCTCGTACCAGTTTAAAAATCGTTTAAATGAAAATCTAGTTGTTTGTACTGTCAGGGAAAATAATATCATTTGTGCTGTTCTCTGGGCTTTTTGAAGTGTGTCCCGTTTAGTCTGATCCATCTTTCACAGTCATAACGATTGAAATGTAAATACAGTGTTACTCAACCGCATCTGAGTGTGGTAAATCTGCACTGCAGATGAATTATTTGAAATCTTGACATGTCAGGGCAGGATAACATTGGTGCCAGGGACCACTGAATAGACCAGAAAGCAGAGCTGTTTTCAGAACGTCAGCGTTCAGAACTTAATTTTACAATTGGGTTTGACATGCATTAACCAAACCTCTTCCTCTGTTTACCTGTAGCAACTTCACGCAATAATAGCTGCATCTGTCTCAATAAAGTCATCCCAAAAGCTTAAGAAAATACTGGAGGTAGGTCTGATTTTAGTTACATTGCGTAGCTTTGCTGCATCACCAGTTCATCCCCTTATGTGTACTGAAACTGTGCCTGGGTGCTTGCATGTCAACTTTCCTTTCAGGGGTTTCTAAAGTGTCACACATTTGTACTGAAAATTAATGCCCTGCTCTGTTTCATTCTGGCAGATCATCTTGGCTCTGGGTAACTATATGAATAGCAGTAAACGAGGAGCTGTGTATGGATTTAAGCTGCAGAGTTTAGATCTGGTGAGTGAGGGGGGTGCCGTTCGGTGCTCGGAGGCCCCGCGTGTGCTGCAGCGCTGCCAGGGCCGTGGGGCTGTGCACGCACCCTTGCCTCGGCAGCTGCGAGAGCGGCCCTGCAGCCGTCCCTCTCAGGCAGAGGAACCCCAGGCAACGCCAAGGACCAGCTCAGTCCCTTTGTCTGGAGCCTGCTGTGCCCTAACCCAGCAATCTCGTTGCCTTTTTTTCCCCAGCTCTTGGAAACAAAGTCGACAGACCGAAAACAAACGCTGTTGCACTATATTTCTAATGTTGTCAAAGAGAAGTACCAGCACGTGTCCCTCTTTTACAATGAGCTTCATTACGTAGAGAAGGCTGCCGCAGGTACCGTAACCAGTGTTGTATCAGTGTTATAGCCTTGATACATCTGTTAGGTCCTGATGTGCTTTGTCACCACAATCATCCTAAAAATAAAGACAGATGGTTTAAATATGGGTAGCAATTAGGCCTGCAATGAGGCCGGTTTAGGAAAAGAGACTGAATTCTTTGTGTCAGAAGGTTGCCAGGAATACTGCAGGGTTGGGGGGTCCTTCCGGGCACTGGGCTGTTACAGAGGTGACTCTCCTGTACTTCTGTCCTGGTGTGGCAGTGTCGATGGTGCTGGCAGGGGACCACAGCACATGTGCAGTGCGAGGGACTTTACAGCGCACCGGATGTGCACTGTGGGACACGGTGCTGCGGCTGGGGGCATTTCTCAGTGAGGAGTTAACTGTTCATACTGGGGCTTCAGGAAGGATGCGGTTTTTTTATTTATCTTATAGTGTCTTTGGAAAATGTCCTCTTGGATGTGAAGGAGCTGCAGAGAGGCCTAGACCTGACAAAGCGAGAATACACCATGCATGACCACAACACAATGCTGAAGGAATTCATTCAGAACAATGAAGGAAAGCTAAAGAAACTGCAGGATGATGCAAAAATAGCCCAGGTGTTTTTTTTATTCTCTGTATTTGGCAAGGGGATTTTAACAACAAAGAAAAGAAACTCTGTACACAGAGGCTGCTTTCTGCTAAAGCTGATGTAGGCTTCGGAGGGCTGTGGGTTGGACAAGCAGCTAGAGGATCTTGGGGTTCTCTTCTGTTTTGACTTAAAAGTATAAAATATTCCATTACTTGTGGGTTGAGATTTGTTGGTCTGACGTGGTACAGAAAGACTCTGTTCCTCAGTGTTACCCCTCACACATACCGATCACCCTGTGTCCTCTTCGCAGTGAGACCGAGTGCGGGCACATTTGCTTAAGCTAGTATTTTCCTAGCATTTGTTCCTCTAGCTTCAGGTTTGTCTCCCTTCTGTGAGCCTGGGGATAACCCCACAGATGCGCTCCTCGGACAAGCGTTTGGACCTGGCTCCTTGATACAAACCGTCAGGCTCCCTTTTGGAGGCAGGCTTCTGTCCCCAGCGAATTACGAGGTGGTGGCACGTCACTGCAAAGCATCTGCTTTTATATGCACAGCAGGGAGGGGAAGGTGCAAAAATTTTGCATATTTGTTCCTGAGTCCTGTATGTGTAACAGTACATATGTGTTTTTTGTAGGATGCCTTTGATGATGCTGTGAAATACTTTGGGGAGAATCCCAAGACAACACCCCCCTCAGTGTTTTTCCCAGTGTTTGTACGATTTGTGAAAGCCTACAAGGTAAACACAGACCTCCTCCTCTTCTCTTGCCTTTTGAGCATGGTTAGGTACCAAATGTGGATCAGGGTTTGCTACAAAACAGCTGATGACTCCCTCTGGCTTTGATACCATGGTGTAGCATGAGACATCATGGATGGACAGTGCAGCAAAACCAGGCCGGCGCAGCACGGGTAGCTGCTTGGGGATTATTTTCAGGGCTGAAAGACCCTGCGGCTACCTAGGATGCTGCAGGGATCCGCAGAACTCGAACCTCCAGCAGGTTTTACCCTTAGTATACATTTTGGGGGATTGGGAGAGGATGGATTACATGGCCCGTGAAGATCTCTCCCAGTCCTGTTTTTTCAGCGTCTGTTTAGAGGGAGCTGTATTGCTATACTCTAAACTTGCTTCCTTGAAAAGCCTGGTGGTGGCAAGAGATGGTGTTATGTATTTGTAATGTTCAGCTTCCCCGTGTCTGTAGCAATTTGAAGCTATAACCTCTATTTTTTGTGATAAACAGCAAGCAGAAGAAGAAAATGAGTTGAGAAAAAAGCAGGAACAGGCCTTAATGGAAAAACTTATGGAACAGGAAGCACTGATGGAGCAACAGGACCAAAAGGTACAAAACAGATATGTGTTACAGGCATGAGCCCTCATGTCTGTGAGTTTTTCCTGGCCATTTGGAAACCTCAGCTCAGTATAAGAACTTCAGAATTCTAGTGGTCCAGAAGTATGGTCTCTGGAAGTTTTCTTCTTATGGAAGGAAAAATCCCCAAAGCCTTGAAATAGGTAGTCAGTGCTCTTCATCCGTCAGTTCTGAAACTGTATATGGTTCTGCTACTATTGAGTTTGCAAAATTCAGAAAAGTTGAGTTGAGAGAAAGTACAAAGTAATCTGGCTGTGAGCTAACCTCTGTTCTGCTCTGGCCTTACATCTTTCTGAAATATTGTCTATGTATGTTCAGTATTCAGAACCCACCATTGCTTATGTTGACATATAAGCGTCCTCCCCAGAACTTGCCCTGGTGTGGCATCACAAACGACCATTTTATAGGAATTTTCCTAACATGTTGCTTTCTGAGCTAACACTTTGATTTGCTAGAAAAAGTTGCCCATGGCTCTAAAAAACAGCCACTTTGTCTTCGATTGATGCTGTGTCATGCAGCTCCTGTTATTAGCAGGGGGTCTTTAATCCTTGCTTTGCTTTTTCCCAGGGAAGGGAAAGCATGTTCTTCTACTCTGGGAATGCTTTTCAGAGGCAAAAGCTTGGCGTTTCAATCCCAAGTGATGAGAAGTAAAGGCTAGGAAGTAAATTACAAATGTAAGAAAGAAAAACAGCTTGGCAGCCAGGTTAACTTGTGACTTTGGCCTTCCTCTCTATGGGATGTGAGCTAACCACGTGCTTGTGTCTTCTTGATCTCACAAAACTGGGCAGAAAAATGGCAGTTACTTGTGAATGCTGCAAGTGGGATCACCTGGTATTGCAAATGTTCAGAAAAGAGAGAAGAGAACCATGGTAGTTGGAGGTCAGTCCTCACAAATGCTGTTCTTGTTCACTTCCAGTCTCCTTCACATAAAACAAAGAGACAGCAGCAAGAGCTAATTGCAGAGCTCAGGCGGCGGCAAGTCAAAGATAATAGACATGTGTATGAAGGGAAGGATGGTGCCATTGAAGATATTATCACAGGTAAATATGTTTTGTTCCATGATCTGGGAGCTGGTTTCACACAGGATAAAAATGTGTATCTGCATAGCAGCTATCATAAGTGGATTGCATACTTCTTAAAAAGCGTTACTCAAATGTAGCTTAGGAAATTGTTTACATGAATGATGTGAATCAAGTGTAAAATACCTTTGCTAAGGCTATGTAACAAACACAACCCCAGTAACCTGCCTGCACACGTCCTTTTTCAATGCCGTGTGCATTTGTCAGAAGAGTAGACCGTGGACACACGCGCACGCACGCACACACACACACACACACACACACACGCACACGCACGCATGCGCGCCCACACACACACACACACGCTGTCTCTTAGTTCTTCTCTTTCAGCATGTTGTTGTGATGCATTCGGTCTCTGATCTAAAGAGTAGCCAGTTCAGTGCCTGATCTCAGCCGATGCTCCGGTGGGGGTATGCATGCCACGCAGGTCTTTCCCCAGAAATCTTTTTTTCCCAGAGACAGAGTGAATGACGGATGTTTAACATTATTAAGAGCCTACATTTTCATTAAAATGTACTAACAGTAATTGCACCACGTTATTGCACAGTTACAGCAAACCATTTAGTCAAACCTGAATGATTTACGACCCTAAGTAGCTTCTGGTTTTAGTGCTTTTCAGTTTGGTAGACAAAGTCTGCACAGGTCACCAAGCTAAGACTGGAGGGAGAGGCCCGTTGTTGTAGACAAGAGATAATCGGGACACTGTATGCAAACACTCACTGCTGTCTTCTCAGTCCCCTTTTGTTTAGGAGTCAAGTCATTTCTATGTATGCAGCCGCTCCGATTGTGATACTTTTATTTTAGTGCATTTTCTTCACCTGTGGTGTGAAAGATCAACAAGATTGATAGCTTTATTTTCTTGTATAGAGCTCAGAAAAGGTCTTTGGGCAGGATTTCCTTGGCTATACTTCTCATAAATGTTTTTCACACCAGGTTTTCCTGTGGGAGGGGAGAACTGTTTTACCACTCAGTGAAGAAAGCCAGGGAATTTTTGCCCTGTGAGATGACAGAGTTGAAATACTTTTGCTGACGCTTTCACAACCTTGATTAATAGTTTCCTGAGATAATGTTCTTTATTTAAGGGGCAGAGTCGCTATGATATCTAATGCGTTGCAGCTTCTGCAACTCCTTCAGACTCCTGGCAGCTTCTATAATTCTGTAAATTGTGTTCTCCTACTCGAAGGGAGAGAGAAACTATGTGTGAGAGAAGACAATCCCGATGCAAACAGCAGGCCAGTGCAGGAAGCGCCAGACTGAAATAACCTAAACATTTCCTATATTTGTGTGTCTAGGATTTCCTATTATGGGGGTGTCTCTGAGAGCCTAGAGCCCGATAAAAAGAAAAGTTAGGCACGGAGTCAGGTAGAAACTAGATCACTTGAATATGGCCCATAAGGTCTGTATCAGTGGTAGGGAAACACTCAGTCAAAAATGTCATTTTAAAATTGATGGAGCCTCTTTGGAGGCACAGGAAAGCTCTGCAGACCTGGAATACACCACTGTCTAACAACATACTCTTTTCTGGAGTAGGTTTGCAATAGTCCTTCAAAACCATTGAACACTACGTAGTATAAAAAAATATGTATTCCGAGATTTGAAACTGCCTTGTCCGCAAAACCTAGCGAACTGTAGTGTGGTCAGAGAACAGATCGGAACATGTCAAACCACCCCTGGATGTCCTTCACCAAGCACTAACAATGTACTAATGCAACAGATCTCTGCTTCTTACTGTGCTCTGTTTGTCTTGTTTGGCTGTTATTTTCCATGCAGTGCTGAAGACTGTGCCCTTTACAGCTCGAACCGCCAAGCGTGGCTCTCGGTTTTTCTGCGAACCTGTTCTCACTGAGGAATTCCATTATTAAACTATTCCTCTTTCACATCTGATGCTCTTAGAAACAAACAAGGTTGCTGTAGATTTTTGACACGTCTCCATTTGTACGGATCTCAGCCAGGATCATGTGAATGTTGACTGTATAGTAATGTCCAGTGTCCACTTGAAGTTGTATTTTGTGTCACCTTTGTTGCATGTTCTTGCGTTTCAGTAACTTTTTATTCCATTCCATCAACTTTGTGCTTGATGCTTTTGGCCATCCTTGCATTTCGAAGGCATCTCTCATCTCCATGACCAATGCCATAGAACAGCCAGTGGTGGTGGTCACAGCAGACTGGTTGCAGACTTCATATGGTTCGCAAGCCTTAGTAGCTCAAACGCAGTCATAAAGTGACAATTCACTTGGCTTTTCTATGTCATCTCTTCTGGCCAACAGAACTTTCTCTGTGTGTGAATCCACCTTCATAATATGCATGTAATAAAGTAGCTATATGCCAAAGCAAAATTACAGCGTGCATGAACTAAATGGGACTTTCCTGGGCTTGCTTTCTGACTTGCAAGGGTTATCTGTAATAATGTATGTCCTCTGGGAGGAGTGTGGTTTTGATTCAGACTTTTTAACCAGCACCTGCATGTTTGTCTGCATGTAGGGTAGAGAATAAAATAAACAGCATAAAATCTTTCCTCATTTTTCACATCCATATTTAACTTTTTTCAGTTCCATGCCAACTTTATCTGAATACCATCAGCACTGCTTATTGAGCAGTATCCAATTCACACGGTGACCCTCTTCGTTAGTGCATCTGAGGGAGGCAATGACTTTGTCGCCACGCAGGTGGCGGAGCAGGCGGAGGCCACGCGGCGCCTCGGGTCACGTAACGGACCCTCGGCAACGCGGGAGCTGGGCCTCTTAATGGCGAAGTGGCCCCAAGCGTGAACGGGGGAGAGCGGGAGGAGAAGAGCTGGGGGAACATTCAGTTTTCTGCCAGAATGGTGGAAATTGTGGTGATAAAAAGATTGACATGGAACTGGGTAACTTACATCTTGCGGTGTAAAGTGTAAGAAAGAAGGGTGTGTTTAACACAGCATGTCTTTTAACACTGTTGTCTTGAATTAAGGCTTGAGTAGCTTAAGAAGACAACAGTGTTTCACTGCTGCAATATGTATTTTTATGAAAGCTTCTAATAAAATTGCAAACTATAATCAGCTCAATAGTTATTTGCTCTTTCAAGTTAATTGCTGTATTATCTTCCTGGAGCCAATCTTCAAAGCAGCTTGGACTTTGGTTAGCAAGAGGCTAGGGTGGCCACCTCATCCTTTCCTCTCTGTTTCTAACCTCCTCTCGTAGCCTTGGCCTTCTCCCCTCCTCTTGCTCTGTTGGCTAACACGCCTGGGATTTTGAACGCTGAGTTGACTTGCTCTTCATTTTCCATCCCATTTTTTACTTAACCATCATTTTGTGTTTTTTTTTCTGTTTAGCCCTAAAGAAGAATAATATCACTAAATTTCCAAATGTTCACTCGAGGGTAAGGATTTCTTCTAGCACACCGGTGGTGGAGGATACACAGAGCTGGCAAGCATCACTTTTTACTTAGCTTCCTCCTCTCTCTGTATGCCAGACAAACTGCGGGTAGATGTAGCTAAATGTAATACTGGTGAGAGGCTAAAGGCCTGGTGGAGATTTGGACCGCTTATTTTTGACCTTCTGTGCAGTAGAGGATCAGTAGGCCACTGGCAAGGACGCGCCCGTGATGTTTCTGGAGTGGGCGGTCAGCAACTCCCTGAAACCCGAGCTGTAAAACCCTTGTTGTGAAGGGGCGCGTGTTGGAGGGAGCCCCATAAGCCTGTTGTGCAGCGTCTGCGGGAGACGTCTCCTCAAAGCCCCAAGTTATTCAGGAAACGTGTAGGCGAGAGCAGCTGCTCTCACGGGCTCGAATGCTCCTTGACGGTAAGCGGCAGCCCTGGGCATCCTGCTCTCCTCCCCTCCCAGCGCTGCGGACACCGAGGGCTCCAGGGCCCTGCGGATGCCCATGTGCTTTGGCACCAGCAGGAGAACACAACCCAAGCTTGAAGTGTCGCTGAGTTGCTCCCGTTTTTCTTACGATGTGGCTCTGTCAAGCCCTTAAAATACCATTTAGTGTGTTCAAAGCGTGATTGTTTACGGTGGCTGGTGACCATTGCCACGCTTTCTTCGTTTTGGCCCTAACATGGTCCTCTTCCAAGTTGAGCCTCAGCTCAACAGTCTTGTGCTCAGCTTGCCTTAACCCCGTAGCTCCCTGGATGTAACGTCCAGCCATTCCTGGTGCTCCCAGCCTCAGGGCCAGGGCATAGCTCTGCCGGGGCTGGTGAATAGGGCACAGAAGCTGGACGAACGGGCAGCCCAAAGCGTGGCGGCAGGAGAGGGCAGGAGAGGGCAGCGTCAAGCAAAGGCACCTTCTGCTGGAGATGCTCCAAGAGCTGAGAGACTTGAAAGTTTTATTTAAACGAATCCGTGACATTTGAGGGAGGGTTTGCCCAGTCCAACACATGTTTGTTACCAAAAGGTCTACCAGACTCAGATTTCCGGTATTCCAGCTGTGCGCGTTAACCTCACTTGCTGCACGCAGGGTTTCCGTCTGTGTTGCATAGGAGGGCCAGGAGGGCCGAGCCGGTTGCTCCCGTCATCTTTTGGCAGGCAGATTTGCAGCCCCCGAACACCAGCTTTTGTTGAAACGTCCAGCTTCACTGGTCAACACCGTTTATCCATTGCAAGCTCAGTGCAGCCCCGCTTCCCCCCCGCCCCCCAAGCTGTGCGCAGGACTGGCCGGGCCACGGCGCCTTGCAGGCACGGCGAGAGGGGGCCGCTGGCCACGCGAGGGGTCACCGCCGCTGCTGCTCGGTCAGCTCGGAAGCAGCTTTGCAGCCAAACAAGATGGGTAGCAATGGCCTAAAACAGCACCCTGGGCTTTTGCAAGCTGGTAACGGCAGCATCTGCTTTTTCTCATGATACCGTCTTTTAAACAACTGGCTCTCTAGAGGGCACAGAGTCATGCTTGTTTTGATAAACGTTTATAACATTGTAGCCTGTGTTATATAGTCAGTCGCGCCGCATGGCACTTCAGAAACCGCTTACAGCTCACACACAGGGTTTTTAGTGGCTGCATAATGGAATCAATTGTACTTCGGCTAAACAGATTTCGGCTTATGTTGCCTTTCTCCGTGACTTTGATAAATGTTGCCAGCCAGCGGGTGGGGAGAGGCTCGGGCTAAGGCGGGAGCACGCCTAGGTCGTTTCACCAGGATTTCAGAGCATTTCACCAGTATTACCGGCTGCTTGGGTGTTTAGCGACAAGGGCACATCAGTATTTGCTCACTTCTAGTCTCGTTGGGTTGAAGTCCCTTCTACTGTTTCTACACAAGCTGCTTTGATTGGCTTCCAGCAGGACTTCTTCTTGTCTAGACAGTGTGTGTGTGGATGTGCGTGCGCGTGTCTGTCTGTCTCTCTGGCTGTCTGCGTGCGTGTGCGTGTGCGTGTGCGTGTGCGTGTGCGTGTGCGTGTGTGTGTGTGTGTGCGTGCGCATGCGCGCATGTGACTTAGGTGTTTCTGACCTCTGGTTTCCTCCCCACAGATCTTAGAAACCAGCCGTACCGACGGGCCGATGCGGTGAGGAGAAGTGTTAGACGGCGCTTTGATGACCAGAACTTGCGCTCTGCAAATGGTGCTGAGATAACCATGTGAGCTGGAGACCTGCATGCGTAAAGTAAAGGGTGTGCTTGACTGAGACCTTGTCCATGTGACTGATATGTTCTGCCACTTAATTACAGCCTTGGAAACAGTAAAATTACCTTCTAAAGGGCTCAAAGACCTAGAAAATGCATAGGAACGTCAGCGATGGGCTCTCCACTCAACCGTAGCTAACAAGTGCCTAAAATTGAAGTACCTGCTCAAATTAATCAAAGCAATAGGACTTGATTTGATTGGGTATCTTTTTTTACACCAATACATTATTCAGTATTTTTAACCAAATTGTAAAATATATGTTGCTTTTTTTTTGGGGGGGGTGGGTGG